CATTCATGCACCACCAGTGAAGTTGCAATAAATTTCAGGATCCTTCTTGCTAGTTTCATTTATCATGTAAATGTACTTTATTATCCGTGTGTTGTCTATCAAGTTATTTTCTGGCCAAACTGTGACAATAAAGCCAACAACTTCTATGAAAGTTAAGGTAGAAGTCTACTCATAATTTCTGAGAAAGTTGGTCATAAATCGCATGACAATGGTTATTGGTTTATTAAGTAAACTAGTGTGTTGCAGTGACATATTTTGAGAAACTTTTTCAGGAAAATTGCTATTTTTAGAACAATTCCATAGAACACAAAATTGCCTTTTTTTTACATTTTTTAAAACCAAATTTTTTGAAATAATTCAGGACAACAAAAGTACCCCCATAATTTACAATATATGGTAAGCGTTATAGAACTGACAAAATATACACTATCTACTAATATACAACCATCATTTTCTGAAAATTAGGCTTGTGACACCAAGTTTTTTCAAGTCAATATCCTTATTTTATCAGAAGTACAATTTATCGCAAATTGATTGAGTTCTGGGTATTTGCAATTATGATTAGGCTTCTACTTTTATTGCTACCATAATTTTATGTACTTTTCCACTTCTATTTCAGACTTTGTGGTTGATGCAACACGGAAAGGCAATAAGATACGTTTTGCTAACCACTCAGTGAATCCTAACTGCTATGCTAAAGTAATGATGGTAAATGGCGATCATCGTATTGGTATTTTTGCTAAGAGACCTATTCAGACTGGCGAAGAATTATTCTTTGATTACAGGTAAAATGACCATACTAAATCTAGTCCATATCATGACCATATTTGTAAAATCACTAGATCTTGTCCATATGACAATATTTGATTAATCATTGGATCTAGTCTGCATCATGACCATATTTGGGAAATCACTAGATCGAGTCTTATATGACCATACTTGATTAATCATTGGATCTAGTCTGCATCATGACCATATTTGGTAAAAAACTAAATCGAGTCCAAATGACCATACTTGATTAATCATTGGATCTAGTCTGCATCATTACCATATTTGGAAAATCACTAGATGGAGTCCATATGACCATATTTTATTAATCATTGGATCTAGTCTGCATCATGACCATATTTGGTAAATCACTAGATCGAGTCCATATGACCATACTTGATTAATCATTGGATCTAGTCTGCATCATGACCATATTTGGTAAATCACTAGATCGAGTCCA